AAATATGTAAAAATGAAATACAAAAAATGTTCTCAATATAATTTGAAGTAATATATTCAATATTTGACTGGCAATATAACTTCTACCTTGTTGAATATGACGAACAAAATCGTCTTGAAGATTGTTTCACTGAAATTCTTTACTTAATAAAAGTAGAGCTTGAAATTTAGAATAAAGCTTTAAGTAAGAAGTTCTGTTTAACTCGATTGGAACATTTAGTGTTAACGCACAATTTTTTTTTAAGTTCTTTAAAAAAAAGCTGTAAAAGTAACTTGAATATAATTTGAAACGAAATATTTATTTAAAATTTCGCTAAATTCTTTATTGAAGCAAAATTTATTTACGAACAAATCGTTTTTGTTTTTCATCACGTAAACAAAATACGTGCGTCTAAGCGATATCGCATAGCGCTAAATAAATTTCATGCAGCAGTCACAAAAACTTGTACAAATAAGACGTCATTAATACATAAAATATTTTCGAAAACATATGTAAGTTTATTTAAAAGATCGAAAACATTCCAAAAAAACCATTTGTCTCAAGATTTTTCGACGCCCACGCAATGGGCTATTTTTTGCAACTCAATGTCGAATATGACCCGGCAACACTCTGCGCAGCAGCACAAATGCTCAATACTGCTTACGTCTCTCAAATACATATAAATGCAAGCACAGATGTATGCACGTATACATACATACATGCACACACACACACACACCTATGTATATCACCTGTGAAGATCTCGACACCCTCCTATTGCGCATTGAGTGCTGTGTTATGAGCATTTTAATTTGTTATTACCCAATATGTAACACTAAAAGCCACACAACAACAAATACTCAACTCAACTTTTCTGCCGCTCCCTCCTTTCATTCGCTCTTTATCATCCCCCATCCTCCTCCCGATTAACGCTCGCTCAGTGTGGCTAAAGCTTTTTAACTTGTGGAAATTCAATACGATCTATTTTTAAATAAAAACAAAACAACAAAATGAAATAAAAATAAAAAATATTTTTCCTATGCAATAAATATTCAAACGTTATGTGTACATGCATGTATGTAAGTATGTATGCATACATATTTCTTTGTGGTTGTGCTATATGCACATGTATGTGTATGGATATGTACATATGTATGTATGTGCGATATACTTTTGCGCAAATAAACAGTGAGAAAACTTATGCATAATCACACTCAAAAAAAAAACAAAAAAATCTTGTTTATCCACACATGCACACAGCACATAGTACACTTGGGATTGAAATGTGTTCACATAAACGAACTCATATAAATTCAAAGAGAATAAATGCATTTTTTTTTTGTATAGGCGATAAAATTCTCTTCCAATTGCTGGCCGGGTGAAAATATATACACATATATGTATGTATGCATCACACACACACACACACACACACACACATTTGTTTCTATAAATTTTCATATGCAGTGATTTTGTCTGGGGAATATGATTTTGATAATGAGAAGCAACACCAACTGTTGTTGTTGGCTTCGTGGTTGGTTTTGCATGTGCGTGTGTGTGTGTGTGCGTGTGTGGTTTACACGAATATTTCGCTTACTNAAAAAAATCTTGTTTATCCGCACATGCACACAGCACATAGTACACTTGGGATTGAAATGTGTTCACATAAACGAACTCATATAAATTCAAAGAGAATAAATGCATTTTTTTTTTTTTTTGTTGATAGGCGATAAAATTCTCTTCCAATTGCTGGCCGGGTGAAAATAACTGCACATATATGTATGTATGCATCACGCACACACACACACACATTTGTTTCTATAAATTTTCATATGCAGTGATTTTGTCTGGGGAATATGATTTTGATAATGAGAAGCAACACCAACTGTTGTTGTTGGCTTCGTGGTTGGTTTTGCATGTGCGTGTGTGTGTGTGTGCGTGTGTGGTTTACACGAATATTTCGCTTACTGGTTTTGCAAATATGTCGCGTTAGCACAAAACTTTTGTTAGCAAATATTTAAAAAAAAAAATGCAACATTTTGTATACTTTATGCAGCAGTTAACTGCTGGCAAAAATAGAGCAAAAATTTGCAAATGCATTTAACGAATTTCGACATCATTAAACAGCGTACAAACTATAGAGTGCAACAAAAGTTGGCTAGTAGAGTGTATAACTGTACACCTTTGTAATAAAACACAAGCCGGTGCATATGCTGTTAAAAGCATTCATCACTTTTTTTTTGTTTTTGTCCTTTGAAAGTATGTAAATTTCTCGCCTTCAACAGCAAGGTTTCGTGTGGCTTTTTTGTGGAAAATATTCGGTATATTTGCAAACTGTGCACTTTATTTGATTGGTTACATGCATGAGCATATACATATATATATGTGTATGTGAAATGTATGTATGTATGCTCGTAAGCAATTAGAGTAATGCAACAAGGTGGTCGCTATAGTCCGAAAAATGATGCGAAAAAGACTTTTGACATTTTCTGAAAGGGAATACAAAATACTGTAGTAAAGATCTCTAAAGAAAATAATAAAGAGAATAAATACTCCTAAGTATGTATAAAAACATATTTTGGTGAGGTGAGTCAATTTGAGTACTGAGTACTGCAAAGCAATGGTGCTGTGCAGTCCACTCCTCCAAGTCGAAATTCTCTAACAAGTACACAACATTTGATTTACCACAACATTTGCATACAGTGAGTGTCAGTGAATATCGTACTCACAATGTTTTTAAATTTTTTTCAAAATATGTTTTTGAATTTAAATTTAAATAATTTTATAAAAATATACATAGTCACCCTGCAACAAAATCCATTGAACTCGAAGTTTCTAACTTTGTAAGAATTCAAAAAATGTAAAAATTTTAAAATTTTTATTCAGAATTTTTAGGTTATTTCTGGGTATGTTGACGGTGCTGCGCTTTGCCGCGGTCAACAAAAAAAAAAAATCAAAAAATCAACGATAATTTGTAGCCACTTCAAACTTTCACTTTATTATGCTAAAATTTAAGGGGCTCTAAAACTGCATACCGAAAAAAGAAAAATTTGAATAAAAAGTGTGAAATTTCAATTAAATTAAATTTTTTTTAATAAACGTTAGAAACGTTGAGTTTTGTGGATTCTGTTGTAGTGTGAACTAAATTTGTACAATATTAAAAAAAAAAAATTAGAAAACAATTTACTGCACGGTTTTCACTGTATATACCTGTAGATAGATAGATATAGAGTATGCACTGTGACCAGTAGGTTTATTATGCCCTCAGCTCATCACAACACTATGTCTAGCCCTAAAGACCCTATAATTTTGAGAATATATCCCAGGGGTAGGGAGTGCATGTGTTCTTCTCTTGGCCATAGATGTCCCATGCCCCTCTTCCTTCGCCGTGAAACGACCGCACACTGCAGGTGCAATGATCTCTCTTTCGTAGAGTCACAAAAGGGATCGACTGACCAGTTCCCTAGGTTGTGCAAGTGGCCTCTTGGCCCTATATTGCATCGGAGCTATTGATAAAACATATTGCACACCTAATAGATCTAAAATGCGATCAACTAAACAAAAAATTTGGGCGATGCTTTTGCATAAATCAATTCATAGGACTTATGTACATCCAACTAATGGAAATAATTTTTCCTTTTTCTTTTTTTTTACGTTAGGCGGTTAGGCGCCCTCATTGCCATTTGGTGCTGCGTTGCGGACCCCTCACAATTCGGCGATTAATGCCACGCTAAACACTTGTTTGCATTGCAGAGAACAGTGCGCCAGCGCGTAATGCAATCAGGATGCCTAGCAAGCTCAGCATCTGGACATTCTAAAGATTCTTGAAAATTTGTATTTCATTGCTTATTTGACGAATACTTGCATATTTGAAATGGCTTCAAGCAGCTTTTACGCTACACTTATTCTTTTCTCAAGAGTTGATTAGATAGGGCGCGTGGGCTGAGAGGGAGCTGAGAACTTTTTCATGAATGCGTCGAAGCTTGATGTAAGGGTTGCCATCAAAATCAAGTTTAGACATCCAAAATTGGGTAGCGTGCTTCAGCCAGAAGTGGCTTCCATTAGGGAAAGCAGTAGGCAAACTTCTAAATAACTTGTGTAACCCATTTACCCATTAATTCTTAGAAGCAACTTTTGCTCGTTTATTTGAATATTATTAGAGGAAAACTCATATGATTTCTACTGACCTCTGGCATATGATATACACTTATTTGGTATTCAGGTCGGCAAGATTAGAGAGGAGGCCTTATGGAAGCCCTTATTTCAGATCTTTTGAAACGATCGGATGCATAGGTTTGTTTCTTACTTTGCTATTAATTATTATTGATGCTGCATTGTACAACCTATCGATGTCTAAAAAGCATATTTTAATATCTAGTAAGATCCCTTCTTGAGTATGCAACTTTACATGGGATCCGGGGGGTTAGTAAGTAGTGGTTAAAAGCTCGATAAAAATATTGACGGTTTTAAGCTCAAAATTCTATGGTTTGCTTACAAAAGTTGGATAAATGAACTACAATTTGAACTAAATTAATCTATACATATATTACAATTCAATCAATCAATTTTCAGTTTGCAAGCGAATGAACTCGATGTGGCATAATCAAATTAATTCCTAAATAGTTGTTGATAAATCAAATCCACATACGTACATAAAAGCAATTGACTCAAGTGTTTTCAAGTGTATAATACTCCTCTTCAACGCAGTAAACAAAAGTGTATGAGTTCAATAAAACCAAAAATATAACTAAAAAATTTACAAATATAATACATTTAATTCGCAAGCAAATTTTCGCCAACCACTACTCGCCACAAAAGAGATCATAATCTGCGTTAAAGCCTCTTAAAATGTTACCGTGAACAGAAACTTGCCATTAAATAATCCAAAATGATTTTACTTCAATGCAAAATTCATAAAATATTAATAAAGATTTGCAACGGACACTATTCAAATCAATTCGAATTGAATCGACGCAAATTTGCATTGTTTGCATTCACGCTCACACTAACTAACACAATATTTTCTTTTCATTGCAGGTTCTTAATCCCAAACCATAACCATGTCCGATGAAGAGGAGTACACGTAAGTAAAATCGCCACAAATACAAAAGCAAATCAACAGAAAACGAAAGGAAAAAATAGCAGCTTCAGCATAAAAAAAAGAAAAAAAGCAAAGACATTAGAACGAGCAGCACTTAAATGAATTAAAATAACAGACAATTTAGAGTAAAAAAAAAATATTAAAAACAATAAACAAATACCACGTACAAACAATTAAAAATATTGCGTTTACTCGTAACGCCACCACCAAACCAAAAAAAAAGCGAACAAAAAATTGATTAAAAATCATTTAAATACAAATAAAATTGCTTACACAGCACGCACCATGTGCAAAATATGCATTCAATATCCATATTGATAAATTACGTAGTAGTTGCATATTAATTGCTAAGCAAAATTTGCACGCGCGCATACGCCAGAGTGCTACGGGGCGTATACGCAACACACAGCACATTTGACTGTTGCTGTTGCTCTTGCTTGCTGCAGGTGCACATAACTGCATGCATATGTACATACATACATACGTGCATCAATATTACCTTTGGAAAGTATTCGAAAGATGAATAAAAACATAATTGAATTAACATGCAAATATGTGTGTTTTCACGTATGTATGTACATATGTACGCTAGTTGTTTTATTAAAAGATATTTTATACAAATTAATATTTGTTGGGAATGAAATTTATGACTGGCTGTTAAGGGATAATTTGTATCGCAGCTATGTTTGTACCATATTTACATACAGTGACTCAAACAAATGACTACGTGTTGATTTTCTTCAAATATTCGTAATGTTTTCCGAACAAAATTTTTTTTTGTTATTTTTATATAAAAATGTCGTCTAAGCTTTAACTAAAACCGTGTAAATCACAAATTATAAAAAAATTTAGGAAAATTCACCAAATTTTCATCAAAATTTCAACTTTTTATTCTGAATTTTTAGAAAAATTTTGGGTTTGCAGTTTTATAGCCCATACAATTTTAGTCCAATGAAGTGCAAGTTTCAAACGACTAAAAAAACGGCTGGAAAAATATTACGAGTTTAGAAAAAAAACCAACACGTGGTCATTTGTTTGCGTCACTGTATATTTTTAGTTATATATTTACTTTACTTACTTACATACCGATACCTTAAAGTGTGCAATTGTATTCGCTATTTAAACTTGCACATTCTTAGATTTATAGAATATTTTATATAAAAAGAAAATTTGTCAAAGTATTTGTCTTCATATTAAAAGTAACGCGTAGTTACTAAAAAAAAAAATATAATAAAAATAAACCCCAACAATTATGTATGTTTACCTCTTTATGTTGTAATTAATTTCATGTATTGTTTTCTCCATATGTTTATCTCTCTTCACATGTACGACTGTGTTTGCACCACCGTTACAAAACACCAAAAATTACAACAACAAAAAATACCAAAAACAACACTTATACATACAACTATAAATGTTTATGCACACGTAACCGCCACGAACGTTCGTCCATTGTTCGTTCCATCGATCGTTTGTACGCTCGTCTGCCCGTTCGCCTGCCTGCCTGATCGTATGTACGTCCGCCCGTCCCCACATCACCAAATATGTATGTGTTTCGAACATGAAAACAATCCAAAAATATATGATTATGTATCCATCCATATCTGATCTGTATGCGTGTGTATGTGATTGAATCGAAAAAAAAAACATGCACAAAAAACGTATGTATGTATTCGCATGTACGTCCAACGCCCATATAATGTCAACCAAACAGTTCCGAGGAGGAGGAGGAGGTTGTCGAGGAGACCAGAGAGTAAGTACTGAATACACCAAAAACAAACAACATTTATCAGAAAGCATACATTCACCAGTATACAAAAACAAATTTTTGTGCAGTCATATTTATTCAATCATTAAAAAATTCGTGGAAATAAATTAGAAGTTAAAAAATATCGAAAGTTATCATTGCATATTTCTCACTCTTATAGTCATTTTAAACTCACTAAGCCTAATACGTATTTCTACTTATTTTTATTAACCATTTCGTATTTAAAAATATACTTATATGCTTCGAAATTTCGATATTTGGTTTAGTGGTAAAAAAAAAATATTTAACACAAATATTTGATGCAAAATGAAAGAGGTATGAAAGATTGTAGTATTGAAAAATTGATAATTTTTACAAAAATCTTGTTTGAACAGGGCATATAAGACGAAAAAGAAATAGGCAATAGGGGTACTCTCTAACTCATGCAAAACCCTTGTCCGTGTAATGTGAAAGGGTTTTCTAAGGCTTAGAGAATACCGCTATTGTTTTGTTTTGAAGTCATAAAAATTTTAATAATAATAGCCACAAACATTTGGTACTTCATTGCAAAACATTTTTATTAAGAAAGTAAATTTATATTTTTTTTTTTTTTCAAATATTTTTACCGCCAAAAAAATTATATAAACAAGAAAAAACATAAAATTAAATTATTTTTACTAAATGACTCAAAAGTAAAAATATAATTTTTTAAAAGGAATATAAAAAATTACCAGCAAAAATCTTAAAAAAATTGCAAGAAAATAATTAATAAAGTCGTTAAAAAATACATACAAAGGAATGTATAAATTACTATAGCACACATATTTATAAAAAAAAATAAAATTTGCATTAAAAAATTATTTTTCCTTGAAAAAGATAACAATTTTTACTGAATAAAAAATTAAACAAAAATTTTAAATTTGCATCAAAGTTTAAACCTAATTTAAAATTTTGTTGATGCTTTTACTTATTAACGATTTTGTTCAACTACAAAATATAGCCAAAGTAAAAATTTGTTGTGTCTCTTATTTAAATTTTTCAAATTAATATCTTAATAATTATGCCAAATTTTATTAAAAGTACATACAAATTTACTTCTTCAGCATTTTTTCATAGTTAATTGCAATCTTTCATACCACCTGAGATTTGTGAACAGAATTTCAAATTATGTACTGAAATTGTTTCCAAATTCGTAGATTTGTTCCACAAGCTACTCGAAACAACTTTAGGCTACAATTAAGCGTTCTACCAGCAAATCTACAAGTTAATAGAGAGCAAAACACTTCTGTCAAAATGGCAGAAACTAACAAACATTTTACTCGAAATTTTTTTCGAGCACAATCTATGCTAACAAACAAATAAGTTTGTGTTATTTCACACAAAACTGTTCCAAGAATTTTTGTTAAAGGAAAATAATTTGCAAATTCCTTTGCTTTATGCTCGCAGTTTGAACTTAGCTCGAGTTTTTCTTCGAGTAGCTCGTGGAACAAATCTAATATGAAATCGAAAATTATGCATTAGCGAAAAATTAAAACGCTTTTGATAAACATAAACAATAACAACAATTTGTTAGTAAAGAATATTCGTAGGCTTCATAATTTTCTAAATAACGCAAGAGCGTGAATAACCAGGCGACATACTGTGGCACATTTAACAAAAAAAAAAGTTGAATTTAAATTCAAATCAGGTTTTTCGAAGTTAGCACCGATACACTTAAAATAGTTATAGAACAGCACTCGAAGTTAACTAATAGTGAAAAGAAATTTCTTAAAATTTTTCTGAGATTCGATTCAATGATTCATTCCCTAATTTCAAGCAGTAGTTGTAGGAATTTCTTACTGAATTATCACAAATTGAAAAAAATGTATTTTCGAGTTTTGTGTTTGACAGAGTCCTCTATAATTCGCAATTAGAAAAGTGTAGAACTGCAACCTATCATACAGTTATTGCATTAGAATGAAACAAAAAATCCATCAAGGCTGACTGCTGCGGAAATTTAAATTTAAAAAATTTTCTCAGTACTGGGAGTGTTCAAACACAATTCAAATTGAATAGAATAATTCTTCAAACTCAAATAATAATGGAGCAATCAAAAAATGTTTAATACAAATTTTCAGCAGTTCAGTAGAAATTTCGAGGCTCTCTTTGAGCTTAAGGGAATAATTTAGTATTTTACGAAATTGATTTTTTTATAGAAAGTCGGTTTCACACTCGAATGACAAAAAATTTGTGTAATTTGAAAAAAGTTATGTGGGAAAAACTTTATGAACCGACATATGCATTAATGAATGCAATTAAAAAGGTATTTTCTAGTGGCTACCTTTGAGGCTCAAACTTGAATTATTTAATGCCTAGCGGAAGTCTGGTATAAAGGGCGAAGAATCAAAATTGTGTAGGACACAAAATAGATAAAAAGTTATACAGCTAATGGAAATCTACGGAATATATAGACAGAAAATTTGGTATTAAAATATATGGATGTCCACACAATATTTGGTAAAATATAATTTTTGAAAAACAGCGAAGAGTTAGTGCCTACAAGCAGAAAAACACAATTTGAGTAAAACAAAAAAAAACAAGAATTCACACTAAAATGCCTAAAAGCAAAAAAAGCTACGCTGGCGCTATTAATTAACTTTTAAATTGCAATTAAGCAAAAATGTACTAAATCAAGTGAGAGAAAAAAAGCAATTGGCTGCTGCCAAAGCGAAAAATAAAACCACACTAAATTTGTTTTTTTTTTTTATAAATCAACTGCAAACTACTCACCAAACCCCAAATCCAAAAGCAAAAAATTAAAACATTGAATGAAATTTTAAAATGAAATTCAAGCAAATTGCAAAAAATAACAACTATATACTTCAATTAGCAAATGGCAAAAGTAAACTAAATAAACAGCTAAATAAATAAATTACAACCAATTTGCAACGAAATTCACTTGAGTTTGGAAATTCTATTGATTCTACTAGTAACTATGCATTTACTTGTACTTACTGCCATCCTGCCTTTAACTCTCTCTCTCTCTCTTTCTCTCTCAAGCTATTTATAACTTCGTATACTTACGCTCTTTTGTATGTATGTACATATGTCTTTTAGTCTACTACTTTCTACTTTTCTATCGACCAAACCTCTATCTAAATAGCAAACTACTTATAGCAGTCAAATCGTTTTATAACAAACAAACATTCAAATATTTAATAAAAATTTGCCATTTCGTCAACGCCGCACATACAAATTGAACATCTATAAATTTATTTATGTACCATAAATATCGTAGTTGTTACACCTTCCATGGAAGTTGAAACTCAAAAATATGTTTTTGTTTGTTTTTTTCTTCTTTTCTCTTTCTTTTGTTTCTAATTGCAGGAAGTAAGTAGAGAAAAAACAAAACCAAAAAAAAAAAGAAACGCCACACACACACGCAGAAAACATACACAAACACATATGCACACATTTATTGGTTGGTAGAGAGTGTTGCAGGAAAACGTATGAAAAAAAAATAAAAAATAAAAAGTTTACAGTTTGGAAGCCTGCAATAGCATACCTACAGGCGCCGCAGTTAGCTTTTAAGTGTACAAAAGAAAGGGTTCTAGAAATGTGTGAATTTGTTGAAAGAAAACTATTTCCGATGAAAGCAAGCGCTACACATGCACAAATATGTATATTTATAAATATGTACATATGTACCTCGTTGAATTTATGCAATTTGTGGCTATGACGAAACTGTACTGTACATACATACAAACATATGTATGTGCAGCCAACAATGCAGTTAGCAATGCAAACTTTATATATGTAGTTCAACGCGGAATGCAGTTTATTTTTAAATTAGTTATAGAAATAGAACGATCACGTAAGATTTTTGCTCGCATCCAAAAAAAAAATTTGAAAAAAAACATACTCCCACATCATCAACGATAATTCAAATTGTATGACCATCATCGCAAGCAAACCCAAAGAAATCAAAAAAAAAAAAAAGCAACAGCGTAGTGTTTGTTAGCAACCCAAAAAATAGCAGATTTTTTCGTTGAATTATTTTGATACGCTACACTTATTTTTGGCTCGTCTGCATAGTTTTTTTTTTTCGAAATTAGATTTAGCTTTGAGTTAAGCATTCGTTCGTTTTTTTACACATACATACATATGTACTATATTACTACTATATATGCAAAATTATATATACATTTTTACATATACATACATATGCAGCATATACGGTGTATATATGTACAAGAAGCACACATTTCAATACATTTACATTCCTATTTATACTGTATATTTACCACGTATGTAACACATTTTTAAACAAATATTTTTATTCTTTCTTTTCGACAACGTTACCTTTTTTGTGTTGTTGCGTGCGTGTGTGTATAAATTTTTGTAAATGATTACGCAAAATTAAAATTAAATTTATCAAAAAAAAATGTAATACAAAAAAATTATGCGTTTTTGTCATCACGCTACAAATGTAAAAATAAAAAAAAAATTAAAAATTAAAAAAAAAAATCTGAAACACACCACCAATCAACCAATCAACCAACCAACAAACCTCACATCCTTCACTGTGGATATGCCAAAAAAAAAATCTGTATGAAATTAAAAACTCAATTTTTGAAACAAAAAAAAAATNGTTGACAATTTCGATCACACACAATTCAATCCAAATCAATCCATCCACAAAATGTTTGCCAATGCCTTATGAAAACGTAGAAAGCCACCTCAAACACCAGCCGAGTAAGTGTTACAAAGAAAAAAAAAGAATACAAATAAAGCCTTATAAATATTTATAGCGTTTTTTTATTGTTGTAAACTCACCAAACGCCAACTGGCTGCAAGTGAAGCATTCCAACTTAACAGCCAAACAAATTATAATCAGCTGTTACTTGCTACCGCAACAAAATTTCAATATTGGTTTTCACAAAAAGAAATAAAAAATAAAAACTTGCAACATTTCACCACAACAAAAAATTGTACATGTTCCTTAAACGTAAAATATATTGCGAAAGTTTATTTGGAAAATGAAAAAAAAATATTTCTTCAAAATTAAATTTACTCCAAAATCTTACCATTAATTCACTTGCAGCCAAACATAACTAAATTTCTTCTTACCTACAAAACCCTATTTCCTTGTTTGTTTTTGTAACTTTGCTTTATATGCCATTATTGTGTGTGAATCAACGCAGTCCCTGCAAGCTTCCCAAAAATAAAAAAAAATAAAATCGTAAACGCCAAATAATTTTGTTTAGTTAGTTGAATCAATCATTTTTTTGTACTCACCCAACATTAATGTTCCCCCTAAGCATAAAATAAAGTAAAACCATTTAAAAAAACAACAATATTTTAGTAAGATATGCATTTTGTGTCATGCCATTTAGCCTTTTCGATCCACTGTACATTCACATACATACATACATATGCACCACCGGCTCAGAAACTGCTTTGTGGAAAGCAGCAGCATCCATCATACCATCTGCATAGGCTAATGTATTCATTTACTAGCTAGTAGCATAACTGTTTTGTGTTGTTACTCTATTTATGCACCTAAATCCTATTTATGTAAAAGTTTATGTTGTTATAGAAATGCATTTATACTTTTTTTTCTAATACATATACAACTTTTATTTCTTTTCATTTATTGAGAAAGATTTGTTAAATATACTTATGCGAATTGGCAGCGTTTTTAACGGTTTTATTAAAAAAATAAACAACAAAAACAGAAAATTCAGGGTGTTCTCCTAAAATAATTTAAAAAATTGACTTTTGCACTTTTTAGAAATCACTAAAAACGACATATTGTTTTCTTATATTTTTTAAACAAATTTTTAAATTATGATTTTTTTCGAATTTCAAAAAAAAATAAACATTTAAAAAATTGTTTTCTTGGTACTTTTTTTTAGAAGATTAAGAATGATTCACAAGTTTTACCAAACACGATTTAAAGAAGCTATTAAAAATTTCTAAAAAAAAAAATATTAAATTTAGTAGTAAGTAATTTTAGTATTTAAAAAAATATTTCTTAAAATCGGTTAAGGATTGCATTATTATTTCATTCTAATTTAAAAAAAAAGATATAAATAATAATGGCATTTTTAAACTTCGAATATACAATTTGAACAATTATTTTTTTTTTATTATTTTGAGATGTTTTCTAATTCACTAGACCAANTTTAAAAAAAAAGATATAAATAATAATGGCATTTTTAAACTTCGAATATACAATTTGAACAATTATTTTTTTTTTATTATTTTGAGATGTTTTCTAATTCACTAGACCAATTTTTCGGACCTTAAAAATAGTTATTTATATTAAATATTAAATATTGTTTTCTGAAAATTTTCGCCTTAAACTCACATAATTCTTTGTTAGTTGTTAAAACTTATTAATATTGGCTACTTTTTAGAAATTGAAAACTGTTTTTGCTATGTTGAATAACCTTGATGATTAAAAACATTTTTGGGATTTGTCTTAATTCGTGATTATTTAATATATAAAAATAATTATTTTTTAGTTTCTAAAAAATGCACCCAAGAACTTTTTTACTGTTTTGCGAATTTTTCTATTTTATTTGGCTGCTTTTTGAATACAAATTTTTTTTTTAATGAAATATATACACCTCTGGGCGAAATAAAAGCAGTGTTTTTGACAATTCTTTAATTTAATTAAAAAAAAAACTAAAACCAAAATTAAAATTTTACGGGCTACAAAACTGCATACCAAGATTTTTTCCTTAGATTTGGATAAAAAAGTTGGAAATTTCGGCGAAAAGTTTTAAAATTTGTTAAATTTTCGTGACTTAAAAAAGAAGTAAGTCGTCACAAATTTTTAAGAAAACAATGTTTTTATTTCGTACATAATTGTATAAAAAAATTTGTGAAATTTTTTTAAATTTAAGCTTTAAAAAGAAAAGAAAAAATACCTTTTGTTATTTTTTTCTTTAAAACTAGTACCCTTTTTAATAAAAAAATCCTACCCAAAAAAGTGTATTTTCTTTTCAATCATGAAAAAATGGTTTTTGTACATATTACTATTGTCCTTACTTGGGATGACAGCTTTGTTGGGGCTCAAGTCAACAGAAATTTCCTTAAATTAAAATATATATATTTATTTGACTTTATTTTCCAAATTACGAAAAAAACTTTTGAAAATTTTGAAAGCAATTGTTGAATTAGTATAATATGTATATTTTAATCAAAAACTTATTTGTGCAGGTTGCCAAACGGGTGATAGGTTATTTTAAAATTCATATACGTATTTATTTAAAACAACTGTCATTCCACTACATTTATTATTTCTTTTCTACTTAATCCATTTCTAAAAGTTCACGCAAAAATTATAATAAAACAAAAAAATAAAAATCATCTACCATCATTACTTTCTTTGAGAGTGTTTTTCATCACTCGAGTAACTGTTAAAACTTATGCGCTCACCAGTTAGCTCAACTCCAACACTACTCATACTTACCGTTACATATTTCATCGTACATACTTATTTAGCGATTTTACTCTTACTACTTACTCGTTATACTAAAATATATTTGAGCTAAATAGTTAAAAACTATTTTAAAATGTATATCTAACTGGAAGTTAAACGCCTTACTCTCAACAAATCTCGTTTACTCTTAAATGTGGGCTCGTAATACCGCTATTTTACCTCGCTCTCACCTTTTCACTACTACGATTATATTAAAACCAAAAAAAAAAGTACCGTTAATAAGAATATGAACTAATTTAAATTTGTATGCTCTTTCTCCCCACTCTTTTTCTCTATCTCGCTCTCTCAATTCCCTCACACGTCACGCGCTCCGTTTTACTCGACGCATTTTTCAATTGCAATTTCAACAGAGGTGAGGGTGATCCAGAATTTATTAAACGTCAGGATCAAAAGCGCTCCGATCTCGATGATCAACTGAAAGAATACATCAATGAATGGCGTAAACAGCGTGCAAAGGAAGAGGATGAGCTGAAGAAGCTCAAGGAAAAACAGGCGAAGCGCAAGGTCACGCGTGCCGAAGAGGAACAAAAGATGGCGCAACGCAAGAAGGAAGAGGAAGAACGTCGCGTACGCGAGGTTGAGGAGAAGAAACAGCGCGAAATCGAAGAGAAGCGCCAACGTCTCGAAGAGGCCGAAAAGAAGCGTCAAGCTATGCTGCAGGCCATGAAGGACAAGGACAAGAAGGGACCCAATTTCACTATTGCCAAGAAGGATGCAGGCGTGGTAATCCTTTCATTCTAATTAAATGCCATAAACTTATATGTGTTCCCTGTATTTTGTTTTGTCTACTCCTTTTTTTGGTTATGCTATCCGTCTCTCTCTCTCTCTCTCTCTTACTCACTCTCTCCTACATATAATGTTTACACCCATCCACACCAAACATCCAAACCATCCTCGAAAATCACTGACAACACACATTGGTCGATCGAACTGAACGAATTTAAATTTAAACTCGCACTGAATAATTAAAAAAATAAAAAACATGAAAATTTTACTAAAAAAAACAAAAACAAAATAAATTCCAATCCTAACCACCCAATAACACAATCCCGAAACTCCTTTGCTTTGTTTTACTAAACTATTTGCCCTCAAATTTACCTTCCTCCCCCTTACCTACCAAAACCTCTTTCCTTTCATTTTTTTTTTGCTACGTAAATTTTTTCGTCAAAATGCAAATGCTTCTGTACAACAACAACAAACGAAAACAAAAACAAACTTCAAAACACTATTTCGTGTATCTTTTTGTATCTTTTACTTTTGATTACGTTTCGTGAATTCTTACTGCTGAATTACTACGGCCAACTCTCTCTATGACCAATGCCATACTTTGAACTATGGCCTGCACCATCAAACTACTGTGTCTTTCATCATAAAAAAAAAAAAAAAACAAAAAAAAACTATATAGTTGGGACTCTCATCCGCCGCCATGGAGCGTAACAAGACTAAGGAACAGTTGGAGGAGGAGAAGAAAATCTCATTGTCGTTCCGCATCAAGCCTCTGGCCATCGAAGGCTTCAGCGAAAGCAAATTGCGTGAGAAGGCCCAAGAACTGTGGGAACTCATCGTCAAATTGGAAACTGAGAAGTATGACTTGGAAGAAAGGCAGAAACGTCAGGATTACGATGTAAGTATACAAAAAAGTGCATAAAGTGTGAGGCGAAAGGCAATTAAATCCATTTATTTTTTCCTATTCCGTTTGCAGTTGAAAGAATTGAAGGAAAGACAGAAGCAACAGCTCAGGCACAAAGCCTTGAAGAAGGGTCTAGACCCTGAGGCTTTGACTGGCAAATACCCGCCCAAGATTCAAGTCGCCTCCAAATATGAGAGACGTGTAGACACACGCTCATATGACGACAAGAAGAAGCTGTTCGAAGGTGTAAGTATTATGCGTTGGGTATACTATTCTGGACAATCTTTTAAGGATTTTCTTGTTATGGGTAATTGGAGAGAGCCTTTGAAAGAGAAAGCTACTTAAATGCTTGACAAATACGAAAGGTTTAATTTATATTTATTTATTTTTTTTTTTGTACAAAAGGGCTATGATACGCTTTACAAGGAAATTGCCGAAAAGCGCTGGCAAGAGAGGGCAGAAAGATTTACATCGCGAACCAAAAGTAAGAATACAAATCGGCTGTGAGACTTTGGAAGCTGAGACCCCTATACCAAATATGTATTTCCGATTAACAGCAATTTATTTTCGATTGGTATGGGGTCCTTATTCTGTAGTGGCCTGTCGTTTATGTATTTGTCAGTGTTGTGTTCGAATATGAAATAACAAAAAAAAAAACATTTTTGTTTGTGAGTGTGAACTTGTGCTTAAGTCAAGTCTTAAAAACTTAAAGCTGAAAGTGAAATTCAGCTGAGATTTGTAAAATGTGTATGCATTAACCAATACTTTCATACTAAATTTCTGTTACTCAGAGTCATCAAACAAATGTTTTGGGCACTCAAAACCCAAATATAAAACGCGGGAGAGAAGCATCTATAAGCTTTTTATACATACATATAATTCATATGGATTGAATAAAAGCTCTATTAGAATGTCGCTGATTCGAAGCAGTGTCGCTGTGATAGAGAGCTTTTACTTTGAGCGCATGTACGATATGTACAGAGACTAAAAAAGTCTGAGAAAGCTTTGCTCTTTTCAAGCTCTTTTTAAGCTTTCTATACGTTTTGTATAGGCGCGTTCAGAGTAAAATCTCTCTCTGCCCAACGCTGTTTTAAACTGATGATGGGCAACACCTTTCCCGCATGCAGAGCTTTTGTTGAGCTTTCAAAGGGTCAAGCACTTTCTATCCATTACTAGTTCAAACAAATCAACTCATATGAATATCAGTTTGGTATTTCTCAAGCATAGATAAATCAAGCTAGACATGAGGGTATCGTCATATTTGGTCTTCTTTCGCAATTTCTCTCTCTCTCTCTGTCGTTGACACAAACTCACCGCTAGTGAAGATATGCAGTTCAAAGGGAAGTGAGGCTACACGCCTCAAATTTCCTTGAAAACCTGACAATTTGTATAAAACAAATTCTTGTTTAAAAACATACACATACATATTTACTGGTATAAACGAACCGTTTCGAAAATTTGTAGTACTTAACCCAACACTTAAACTTTCACAAAGATCACGAATGTCTTCTTCGCTAGATTTTTTCAGGGCCTCCGATTCCATTTACATCTCATATTTTACTGAGTAAAATTCATATATTCGTTACTCACTCTACTACAAGCATTGTCTCTCTCTCTCTCTCTCTCTCTTTCTGAATTTCACTTGTACTGCGAATTTTTGTATGCATTTGTTACGTGTTGCGTTATCGTCTGCATCTAAACGTAATCCACATACACAAACNTTTTGTATGCATTTGTTACGTGTTGCGTTATCGTCTGCATCTAAACGTAAACCACATACACAAACAATAACAACAAAAAACTGCATGTGGCCAATAGGGCTGGGAAGAAATCGGCAAGGAGGTGAATGAGAAGATCTGGAATGAGAAGAAGGAGCAATACACGGGCCGCCAGAAATGTATGTATACATATAGTGACGAGCTTTTTTACACTCAATACAACTCGTAAAAGACTTTTGTTAAATGTTTTGTCTTTTTGCTAATTGTTTATTTTTTGGTTTTTCTAAAATGTAATGTGAAATTTTTCTTTTTGCACTAATTGCAAAATTTTTTCTGAAAATCAATATTTCTCATCAAATCACTTTTTATTTCATCTTCTCACGAACGCAGCCAAACTGCCCAAGTGGTTCGGCGAACGACCAGGCAAGAAGGCCGGCGAACCCGAGACACCCGAAGGCGAGGAAGACGCCAAGGCTGATGAGGACATCGTCGAGGATGAAGAGGAAGTCGAGGAGGAGGTTGTCGAAGAGGAGGATGAGGAAGGCGAGGAAGAAGAGGAAGAGGAAGAAGAGGAAGAGGAGGAGGAAGAAGAAGAGGAAGAAGAGGAGGAGGAAGAAGAGGAAGAAGAATAAATTAATTTAACTACATTTAATAAAATTTAAAAACAAAGAAATTAGTTATTATTAGCTTATTCGAGCAACCAACAAATATAAAACAGCAAAAAAAAATAACGAGCGAAAATCAGCAGGTGTAGCAGTTGACGAAGAAGAAGAAAAATTTAAATCAAAAACTGCAAAAATTTGTCAAAGCAACTCTCTCACTCGAACGCGAACTCAAACTCACTCTGACACATTCACTACTGATTATTCACTCACTCGAACACAAACACACAAACAAACAACTGTGACAACACGAACGCATTGTCGCTCTCTCTCTCTTTTTGTCTTTTATAAGAAATACAAGAACAAAAAAAAATACGAAAAAAAACAACAGCCAAAACAAAAGAAACTCTTCAAATTTGTTTGTAATAAATCTTATAAATTGAGATGAAAATCTGAAATCAGACTAATATGATAATTACATATATATATATATATATATACTTAAATATATATTAATCAAGTAGCCGGAAATGTTTTATAGGAACAACAACTATATGAAGCTTATATAATATTTTATAAGTGGAAACAGCAAGTACCAGCACAACGAGAACAACTAGAACATGAATACATAACTCTCTCTTGATATTCCTTTTTCATTTAAGATATTTTTATTTTTTCTTATTAAAAACAAAAGTAAAAGATAATAAATTATTTATGAAAAACCAAAAACCAAAGGAAAAAAACAAACAACGAAAGTGCGTTGCAATTTTTGTTCAAAAAGAGATAAAAGGCGCACTTTAAAAATTGCAGTATGCCTTTACTGAGTAGTTAGTTAGTTAGTAGATGGAGTGCAATAGAACAGATGACAAAGCGAAGCACCTACTAGCTTATGCTAAAATGCTAATGGTACCTTATTAAAAGAGTTCCAAATAATAAATATTTCAATGTGGTTGAACTCAAATGTTTTAGTCCAAGTCTGGCCCACGCTGAACCATCACATCTTAACACGGCAATTACGTCTCTTCGTCTTCAAGACACAAGCGGCATTACGTGTGCGTGATCAGGCCAATCCGGTGCATGAGAGAGCACAGCTGGTTAGGACCGGTTAGGTACCCTGTGCGCAACCTGCTGTTAGCTCGTTTCAAAAGATGCTTGTTCCCGTCTAAGGCTCTCTGCCGCTGCTCAGCGTTCAAAGTTTACCTACTCGGTAATTGCAATGCTCGCAGAAGACCACCTGAGTTTCGGTCCCACAAGGCAAACGATAAACCACCCTCGTCCTTGTTGTCTCCGAGCCCGTGGTAATCTAATACCCAGTACAGTATTATATTATGTTCTTATGTTTCTCTTTGTCAAGAGCTAAAGAGTTGGAAAGCACAGTAAGCTAAGACCAGGGGTGTTTGACCTTTCTAAATAGGGCCCAGATAGTCGCTTGGCGATTTTCAAATTCAGGCCTATATTTAAGTTGGCATAGGTTGGGATTGCTGGAACCTTGGCCTAAAAGATGTCGGGCTATCTACCCATATGTATACTCACACACCTGTCCGTAGACAGTTCTTGTCTCGTTCCATACCAAAACGGACGGGGTTCACACTTCATGTGTTTGATTTGTTTAAAATTTTTAAGGGTTGATGCATAAACATAAGTAATAAATAAAGCAGCAGCAGTATGAATCTCGTGTGATTTTTAATCTAATTTCCTGCAATCCATCACTGATTACTTTGTGAGCCTCAGAAACTTCCTTGATCATCTCTGATCTCTGATGACTAAATATGCTACTACTATGCTTGAACAGTGCCATCACCTCAAGATGTTCTTTATGCACTGAGAAAAAAGTTTAGTTACTTCAAGTAAATATGTTTCACAAAATTTAGTTATAGCTACATTATTTGGTTGTGCTAGTTACCAAATCATGTGTTGAGAGAAATATATTTAGCTGCCTCTTTTATGAATGTTGTAAATTTGTCAGTCACGTCCGTTTAGAAAGTATTTCATGAGTGGATTCAGAGTTCTTATTGTCAGAATAAATGTTGTTTGAAAAGTACGAATACGGATTAAGAGCTTAAATTTCAGATTGATGGAATGTTCGCGATACAAGATACCAGCACAGAGACTGTTCTTCTATGTAGTAGGAGCCTATGTGAGAGAAGAAGGAGATGTTTGAAAATGCTCTCGATACGCAATGACGAAGAGGCTTGAATTCTAACTATTCACGCAATTCCTCTTGCAAGCATTTCCTCATTATTTTGAATAAGTTTTTAAACGCTAATTTCCCATTAGCACCAAATATCTTTAAATATTTATAAATACCTTATTATTTTAAATAAAGAGAAAAATTTCATTTCTGCTACTCTTCTGTAATACAATTCCTGGGCAATTTCTTCTGGGGCTATTGAGCTGTGTAATTTCGTGGTCAAATTGTGTGCTATATTTGAGCGTTAACAAGAAAAATAGGAAAAATGCTAAAGATAAAAATATATATTTGGATAAAAACTCAACATAAAGAGGATATACTGAAGCGTAAAATAAAAGAATATTACCGTTAACACTAAGGCCTCCAGTAAACTGTTAAAAAAGGCGAATGAAAGGCAAGCAATTAGAATAAAAACCAACAAAAAAAAAAGGTCAGCGGGTATTTCCTCGACGGCTGTTATTGGTGTTGGCAAGCGTGTGCCTGGCCTGTCACTTTGTGTATGTTGAGTTCGTTGGATATCGTTGACACACATCAACAAAGCTTATCACCAAATAGCAATCAAAGTGACATTCGCTTTGCCCTTAACAACAAGCATATCAAAACGTTTGCACGCATGAGGGATTTTTTTTTACACAGCCGCTGTATGGGTGGCTAGCGAGTTTAATGGCACATAAGGAAGACTATAAAACATATATGTAGATATGTACATACATATTCTTAAAACAAAAAAAATATATGAAAATATGCGTGTGCAGTCATCTTAAGATATTTAATTATAGCCGGATTATTGTAGCATCTCATAAAATGAACAAGTTTAATTATAACCAAAACTTAGCGCGTACGGAAAAAGTTGGTGGACATCTTCCTTTTATGTTTTGGTTTAAATCTTGCTTTGGCCGAGCTTCTCCTCCGACTTGTGTCGTGCGCCTTGATGTTGTCACACAAAGCGGAGGGACCTACAGTTTTACGCCGACTCCGAACGGCGATTGTATTTTTATGAGAAGCTGTTTTTTCATGGCAGAAATACACTCGGAGGTTTGCCATTGCCTGCCGAGGGACGACCGCTGTTTAGAAAAAACCTTTTTCTATATTTTTTGGGATGTTGCTTTGACCAGGGCTTGAACCCAGGTGCTGATGTGTGAAAGCGCGCACTGCTTACCACTACACCACAGCGGCCGCGGAGAAGCTCGGAGCGAGGAGAAGCTCGGCCAAACACTAACATATGTGTAAGCGCCAATCTAATAATAAAAAAATTAAATCTTGCTTATTTAAGTATAGGGCTTAACATAAATATACGACACCTATTTACTTACATATTGACAAGGTCACCTATTTATTGTATTATTTCTTAATTTTAATTGCACTGAAAGAAAAATCTCAAGGTTTGAAATGTCCCAAAAAATCGTCCAAACAGGTGAATGTAAGATTGGATCGTATATTACGGGTACGTAAACCGTTTTTCCAGATCATGTCAATTTCCCAAGATATTTTAATTTTATGAAAAAAATATTCTAACTTTAACAAGGAGACAATTTCCAAAATAAGAAACCTTTTGTAATTTTTTTTTATTTGTATTAAAGCCTGTTCTTTTTCTAAAAACATCAAGCTACTAGCGATGGGAATCGATGTTTTAAATGGTTTCGTAGAACAAATTTTTTCATCGTTCCGCTCAAGCTCCGCTCCAGTATTTTATTTGACTCCGAGACTAGGTCTTTAAATAAAATGGCGGATATTCACTCAGTCAGCAAGAAACTCGAAAAAGGATCCGAAAAAGGAAAAAGGGTGACTGAAATTCGGTTTTTTTCTGTTTACCATTTTCGAATACTTTGACGATCCGTTTTCCCACTAGAGCTTGCGGCATAAACGTATGTACGGCCAAGAACCGGAAATTGTTTTGAAACGGGTACGTTTTTGGTTGTTTTCTGATTTTTATTTTATTGATTTTTTCGTTCAATGTGCTTTCCTTCTGAACTTCACAGATGCTTTTTCATGGTTCCAAACAAAAAATAAAATAAGGAAGCGCCTGACGGCATTCGAACCCGGCACCTTCTGAAAGCTAACAAATACTAGCGCGCTCCTCTGCACGCTCAGCCACTGCCGACTACGTTTACATGCTTTCAGAAAACATCATCATTCTCGAACGTTTTCCGGATACGAAAATGAATGCAAATCTAAGTCGTTTTCTGTCCGTTTACGGCTAGGGAAAACGCACTTTTTTAACGTTTTTGTATGTATACGTAAATGAACGAAAATTCTAGTCGTTTTTTCCTTTCGTTTCCGGATACTTAAAATTGTGCGAGATCGCACTGTCGAAAAAATTGGCGTCTCTCTGCTGGCTGGGAAGTCATTGTTTTTTCATCGCCATTCAAATTGACATGGCAATTATCCCTCCCTGCTGGGCGTTGTGTCAAGTAAAATGAAAATTTATTTAACGCGGTTTTTCTCCGTGGCAAAAACGAAAAAAACTAGTAAATTTAATTTTGCTAAAGGAGCTAAGGAGTAAATGAATTTTTTTAGCTCTTTGCTCCACTTCCGCTCTAACCAAAATCCTTTGCTCCTTGCTCCTTTGCTTCGCTTCGCTCCGAAGCCCTGGTTAAATGAAAATGTGCAATAATTTTTTGTATGACATAGGGCCAAGGAATAATGTTGCTCATACGCCATATCGTACATGGAGGTAGTCGTAAATACTCGTACATGGCGTATTTTGTAACATTTTCCACGATAACCTCGTTCATGAAACTCCGAAGATTACCCAGCTCCGGCTAGAGTAAGCTTGCCATCGGATTTCTCTCTTTTAGATTAAGATTAGAAAAATGCGTTTTATAGAACGAGAAGATACCATTCAGTAAGCTCAAAATTATGGAAATTAATTAAAAGGCTCAATTATGCACATACGTATGTATGTATGTACACGCTGTAAATGTGGAAAAAGTTGGCCTCATGTAAACTACTAATACCTACATACATATAGGTTTATTAGAAATAGTACTTTGTGACTTTTCACCATGGCTAAATATCCATTATGAAGTTCACAGACTTACTTTACTGACTCTTTACATGCAATACCATTTATGCAGCTTAGTGCTATGGTGTTGTTTGTTTTTTATTCCCAACCTAAGTCTATTTCGTTTTTTTTCACTTCATTTCAATTACTGTGCAATTTTGCTTTTTATCTGCCCACTACAACTGCAACACAGTTAAGCGGATATTCGCTTCGCTTCCGTTGTTTGGCTGCGCCAGTTGCTGTCATTTTTCCACCATTCACCAGAGTCAACTATGCATAATTTGTATTTATACACATGTTGAGCGCGCCGCACAACTCTCAAAGTGCGAGTACAAACCTACAAAATATATACCAACAAACATCACCAACACAGCGTCGCTTAGTATTTCTGAAACCGCAGTTGGTAGATGTACGCACGTGGCATGTCATATTTAGATTCACCAGTTATACTGTATGTATGTATGTATGTACATGTAATAGTGCATGGACTTTCATCCAGGATGAAATGCACTGAATAAACTTCTCGTTCGAGTAGTCCGTCATATGAACCAGTGT